GGGGGGGGGGGGGGGTGGTGGGGTTATGATATGAAATAATTTATTTAAATTATTCTAAACATTTTTTAAAAAATAATAAAAGCAAAGTGCACATTTTTGCTGAAAAATATGACAACTTAATAAACTATATCATACATTTAGGGTGACCGCAGGGAATGTCATCAATCGTTGGCCCACCATTTTTATGAGGCTGGTCTGCGAGCGTCTCGTAAGCCCAGGAGTAGCCGCCATTCCCTAGAGAGCTGGGGAACGGTTGGATGGAGCTTCATTTCAATCAAATTTGTGATTTGTGACGAAAAAATGGTTGACAAGGTTGTCCTGGTTGGTCGTGAGTTTCGAAAGCTTGATTTGATGTCTACTTTCAATGTTATTATTCTAGAAGGTGTGAAGATGAGTATTCTATTATGCATCTTCATTTAAATGATTTTCATTATCTTCCCTTGTTCTCTCTCTCTCTCTCTCTCTCTCTCTCTCTCTCTCTCTCTCTCTCTCTCTCTCTCTCTCTCTCTCTCTTGAAACATTAGTTCCAGACATGCAGCGCAAAATATCTTATTTGAAGATGAAGATGAAAAATTAGAATGTACATTTTATTAAGATTTAATTATTTTGAATCTTTTCTTAATATATGGACTAGTTACTGTATATTTCATTTAAATTATCCTCTTATTTATACATACAAATTGCACTTGACAGTAACGTAACTAATAATTATTTAATGAAAGACAGGTTCATTGAACTTAAGTGTTACAACCAAAATTTTGTAATTCACTTAACTAGCAACATATTTACATGTTCCATACATTACAATGATAATATGTAAAGGCAAAATAATTGAAAAGGGAGAATTATTTATAACTTCTCCTTTTCAGATTTTGAGCTTTATATAAAGTCGTTATAAATGTTATTTGAAATTATTTACAGCTTATTTTTACCTACTGTATTTTTTCAAAGGCTCCTACTATAAAAAGCATACTATATAAGTTTACATATATTAAATATAGAAAATATAGAAAAAATTGAGACTAGTGAATCCAACCTAATTGAGCTAAATTTATTTAACATCTCTGAAAACATTAAATCATTGCCGTAACTTTCAAAAGTGTCACTATATAATCTTTTGGTGGTTGTCATTGTTAAGGCCGTAGTGAAGGTTTTTGTTACACAAACGCATTCACCATTTACTTCAACCATGTCATTGCTGTGGCAACAGATTGTGTTTTGGAACCCGCTACACTCACGAACTTCAAAGTTCTTGAACATGTTTCTACCCAGACCGCACACATCGCACCGTCTACATTCAGACTGACAGGGTTTTCCCGGTAAGTAACTCCTATAATATCCGTCTTCACACATGATGGTGGCGTCTCTTGTCTTGGTGCACGGTTCAGTAACAATCTCGTACTGGGGAATAAGAAACAAATTAACAATGTTTGTGATGGATTCCAGTTCCTTCATTGAATGCCTTAAAATATATTTTTAAGATGCAGAGAACTGAGCCTTATGAACATAACTCAAAATCATCTTAGTGTAATAAGTGATAAATGTGATGTTTTATTCTCCGTTGGGCCCAAATTGTCCCTATATCGTTTGTGACATTAATTTTATTTTTAAAAAAACTAAAAGCTAAATTTTTCATATAAATATTTTATAAAATGGACTATCGTGCAAAAGAGAGTGGGGCTGAACATTTCCCAAAACATGCAAGGAATGCACTTTATAAGAATCCCAATTATCCCCCCCCCCCGGCTCGCAAACACATTTTTTTTCACGCCCCTGATCTTATAAATATTCAAATAATTCACCCGATTTTTTAAACATTATTTTTAAAAAAACTAAAAGCTAAATTTTTCGTATAAATATTTTATAAAATGGACTATCGTGCAAAAGAGAGTGGGGCTGAACATTTCCCAAAACATGCAAGGAATGCACTTTATAAGAATCCCAATTATCCCCCCCCCCCCGGCTCGCAAACACATTTTTTTTCACGCCCCTGATCTTATAAATATTCAAATAATTCACCCGATTTTTTAAACAACTATTCCAGAAATACTCAAGAAAATATTACGCACTAAAAACTCTTGCGATATTTTTTTGTTATTAAAGACTCTAGTTTAGCGCAGTTATCGGGAATTTCATCTCGAGAAATCAGTTTCCTCATATTTCAAACCTCGGCAAGATCTCCCAGAAAAAAATAACTAAACAAATCAATGAACCTTTACAATGAAGAAGACATGTAAATTACCATCACAGGCTCGTAACACTTCTGACAACGTGAATGTTTCCTTTCTTGTGCCATATTTGATGTCATAAATGTTCCATCTTCACAAGGTTTGCATTCAAACCAGTCGAGATACTCTCCTTCACCACAAACTGTTGGTCCGATATCATTAACTTCAGCATCAAATATTCGTGGCAGAAGTGCAGATCTTGATGGGATATTAGGATCGCAATCTCCACGACTTCCCTGGGCTTGCAATAATTTTGATGTAATTTGTAGAATAAATACTACAGAAATTCTTGTATGATACATTTCTATGCCCGATGTCTGCTATCTGTTCACTTTGAAAAAGTCCTTTAATTTATAATTAAAATAAAATTGTAAAGTTCTTCTCTTAAGTCGAAGCCTTCATTTGGCCAAATTTTAAATGTCGGTAACAAAAATTTTAAGTCAAGACTGGTGTGTCACGATATGTTCCCAGCCACGTCACTAAAATTTGAAACAATCAGAATATATATAAACTTTTACCATTCATAAAAATACTTTTGCTTTACAACACTCTCAAAGGTACAGTCAATACAGACACACACGCACAGACGTATATATATATATTTATTTATTTATTTATTAATGAGCAAAGTATATCACTGAACCTACTTATTTGAATGTCGATGTGCCTCAGATGAACTGTAACGCGATAAGTTTAATAGATTCGCTATCATACTCCAAGCTATTCTATTTATAATATCATATAAACATATTATTTATCTGATGAATGAAATCACTCAAAATCAACACCACAACCATACGACCTAGGATCGCAGCACGGTTTGACTGCCGTGTTATCTCGCAAAGTGTGTCTCATACTTAAGGACCATGTGTCCTAACAGTAGTGCTTACCACCGTCCAAGAGCGGTTGATATACTCTCTAACGTAATCTCAGTATTTGTCAGCCAATCAGTGGATTGCATTTATTCATATTTAAATATATATGTGCCTGTTATTACCATTTCTGACATGAGAGTTACCTTATTGACAATCCAAGCAACAAATATACTCTTTCGCAGTACAGCAGTAGCATTCCATTTCTATGGCAAATGAAGCAATCGTTTATTTTCCAACACAAAATATATATTTATTAGTTAGTATGAGTGGAATACTCTTGCACACGTTAGATTTATGTAAAATATATGACCCACATATCATGTTTAGCGTTTGTTTTCAATGCATCCCTGATAACGTGTTCAATCTAAGACTAATACCATAAACCAGTGAATGAAGTAAACTGAAAATAAAATAAAAAACACATCCCAAAATCTCACACAAAAAATGATATCTTGTGCGGACCATCCCATTCTCCCCCCCCCCCCCCCCATATACATTCGCATTTCCAATAACGAACGTTCGTGACTGAAACTGCAACAAACAAAAACTTTGATCAAAACATAACTTCTAGGGCAGTGTTGCCCAGTTGTTTTCCACTTGCTGGAACCGATCACCACCTGATACGCTTAGATCGACCACCTACGCCCATATTTCAAAGTAGAAAAAAAACGTTCTTTTTTTTTTTGATTGGGTTGTAATCCTGACGTCTGGGTGATTTATTTTGATGTCATGGTTTGTTCGTGCCTCGAGCTTCAAAATTGAAAGATACCACAGAGTTTTCAACAAATGAAAGATACTTTTATCACTCTAAGTTATCTTTCATCGCCGTACACCGATTTTGAAATGTTAACACACTTTATCTGCGATTTAAGTGATAAGTTTATAGTATCGCTTAACAATATTTCCGCTCAAATCCGAATGTACCTAAGAGCGTCACAATGATATGTCAGTTGTTTGTCTAAGCCACGGTTGATGTAGTTTATATGCTATGGGCTACTCAGAAAGTAGCTGTAAATAAAATAACTTCTTTCATGGTAACATCATTCCAGTTTGTATTTTTTATTTGTATTAGGCCCAAACAAAAATTTGATTAAACAAGTTAAAGTAAAAATTTGAAATTTTTTACCGAAAGGGAATTTTCCAAAGCATGTTAGTGATTTATCTAATCGGAATATGGCATGGATGCATGCCAACAGTTTTGCGCTTTCTGGGATAGGAACTTAGCTATAACTATTAATTTTCCCGGCGCATAGAAGATTTCGGTAAAGCGTTACGGTGATCATGGTGATGGATAGTGAGACACCGAGTCTGATGAGAAGTCTGACGACAGGGATGTTGTTTCAGAAACAGGACAAGATAACAAATGAATGCTGGCTCCTAACCCTGCTCTTAAACTGCTGATGACTTTGAGACCTCAGTCCTTAGGGTTAACTGTTTGACCGTGTCATGGTCTAGTTACGGAAACTGATAAATTAATCTGGTCTGTAGCCAACCAGCCACCACCCAAACTTCTCTTTTTAGAGAGTAGTTAAATCGATGGCTATTAGTGTGTGTTTGCATGCAAAGGCCTTGCCCGGAAAAAGCGGAAGGAAATGTAATATTAAAATATCACTTGGCTTATATCACGCTTTGCTGATAGTCTCATGTGATGCAAGGGATAAATATTTAATGACCCATTTTTTATTCCTGATTATCCTATATTTCCTATTTTTTAAATTCGAAATAAAATATAATAATATTTAGTTTTCTCTCAAAAATGACGTTTTGTTAAGGGAGACAACATCAGCATCTTTAAAAATGTCTCTTTAGTGATTGTAGAACCTGATCTCTCTAAAAGTAATTTGACGAGTTTCAAATGTAAAGAATTAAAATCATTACTTTCCTTCTGAAGGAACGCTTGACTAAAAGAGAATATTTATGCTTTTGGTTCGTAGAGTATCCAGACATATTTTATATCTTTTCTTTATTTTCGGCTATTACATTTAAAAGTATCATGATCGTTTTCAATCAATTGGATGATTTTACTTCGCGGAGTAACATTTAAAGCTAATTTAATGATACGATCAAAGCCCTAAACATATATTATTTCACGAAAAACGCACCTAAGAAGTGTGACACTCTGACAGTAAAAAATAAGTTGATCAAGCGACACGCAAAATATTATACTTTTTCATGCCTTGAGAAGCTTTGCTAATAAACTTGCGAGTCACCGAGCAAACAAAAATTATAAAAATTATAAAAATTATATAAAATTATATAAACAAAATAAAAAAGAGAGAGAGTGAGAAAGAGAGAGAGAGAGAGAGAGAGAGAGAGAGAGAGAGAGAGAGAGAGAGAGAGAGAGAGAGAGAGAGAGAGAGAGAGAGAGAGAGAGAGAGAGAGAGAGAGAGAGAGAGAGAGAGAGAGAGAG